TGGTTGGAACTCGGTTAAGAGTATATATTGCATTGCTCAGCGCATACCCCCAGAATGATTCTGGTAGAGTCGAATGACCCATCATAGAACGAACCATGTCAAGCAGGGTTCGATTCCTCCTTTTAGAGACACCATTCCATTGTGGAGTCCCAGGAGGTGTGAGTTGGGATAAAATCCCATGCTCTCTAAGATAGTCATCGAACTCACCACTTAAGTATTCTCCACCTCGATCGGATCGTAGTGTTTTAATACTTTTGCCAAGTTGTTTTTCAACTTCATTCCTGAATTCTTTGAACATTTCAAAGGATTCTGACTTGTGTTTCATGAGATACACATAGCCATATCTACTGAGGTCATCAGTAAATGTAATGAAGTATGAATAACCACCTCGTGCAGTTGTATTGAAAGGCACGCACACATCACTATGAATGAGTGCCAGAAGATCACCAGCTCTTTCACCGTGTCCGGTGAAAGGAGATTTGGTCATCTTACCCAATAAACAAGATTCTCATGTGTCATATGATTCAAGATCAAATGACTCCAGCATTCCCGACCGATGTAGCTTGGATATGCATTTCTCATTTATATGGCCTAACCTACAATGCCATAGGTATGTTTGGTTCAAAACGTTTGGTTTGTTCCTCTTGGCTGATATGTTATAGACAGGCATGTCCAAGTCAAGGACATATAACCCATTGGTCATGTTGGCATTAGCATAGAAAACATTCATTCTGTAAACGGAAAGGGACTTGTCTTTAATAGAAATGATGAAACAATTCTTATCAAGACATGAAACAGAAATAATGTTTCTGCTAATTGCAGGAACGTACAAACAGTCGTTTAATTCCAACATAAGACTGTTGGAGTTGTGCCCTGATGACCAACTGTTTATCATTATTCTATCATGTATAGGCATATATAATATGTTTACACATCTCATGCTATTATAAACAAGTATTATATTCCTAGATTTATATTTAAAAGACGTTTATCAGATAGTGTTATTCTGCTGATGAGACTAACATCTTGAAATAAATATTTATCTAAATGTCCATAGTCGAGTATTAACGAGAGTGGGATATCGTTAATGCATGTGAGACTAGTGTGTGTTGGATGTTTGACTTAGTCTCATAGTCAATGACGTTGTGTTCGCATCCGCACATGGGCAGATATTATCTAGAGATAATAGGATGCCAGACTGACCCATCCTAAAGATGTTGCTTGAACTTTTAGTTCATGCTCTAAGCATCTTTAGCGCGACCACGGGTGTAACTATCCTTCGACTTGAAGTATTACGTTTTCTGCATATGTTAACCCACATACTTTGATGCATTGTCCTAAGCCATATGAAATAAGGATGGTATACAGGCTTTGTTTTGGGTATGCCGCAGCGCGTATTCAGAAACGTAGATTACGTACATAGGATTTGTCACTACTCTTTTAAAAGATATTAATGTCTTATGGGGCCCACTAATAAGTTATGATTGAGGATATTGCATGGCCATGCTGAGATGTTTTTATGACATCTGTTCCTATCAGTCAGACTTGATAAATCAGTGAATGACTTAATGGATACAAGTTGGATTTTATTAATCCCTTGCATTAAGTTTAGACATTGAGACAAAGGGATACAGTTACACGGAGTTTGAGTCGTGGAAAGGTTTTGACGGTGCAAACGTCTTATGTAACACCCTAATCCGTCCAGGTCTGCAGCCCCTTTCGGACTAAAGTATTAACTTGGAAATCGTAAAATTTAAAACTTTTCAAACACTTTTATTTATCATAATAATATTTTTCATATCACAAACAGTACAGAGTTTTCAATATTGCGGAAGCTTAACAAATCATAATCACAAACATAATTTATTTATATTCTTTAATTCAAAACCATCACATCCATTCCGACAATCTCGCCTCCGTCTGCCTCCAGGATCACGTCACATCATTTTATTGACCTGCGTGTAGTAAATAAAACACACTACACGCTCAGCGGTAAAGCTGAGTAAGCATATCTAATGCGTCGAACATCCACATAAATTGAATCTCAATTCATAATCAACCATTTGATATCATGCACATAATGTTCAGTTCAGATATTCAATAATCAATATTCAATTTTCAACATTCATTATTCAATCATCCAACATGTATATTCATCATTTGTCATTCAACAGTATCCTTAAACTATTCTTAGTCTAAGGCCAATCACTTTAATATTTGTCAACCCTTAAATGAATTCTAGTTTAACTAATTAAACTATATTCCAGTCTACAGAGTACTCCTAATAATCCTTAAGCTAGGCCTAGTTTAAGATAAAAGGGTTTTGGAAATCTTAAACTTACCTTCACTTAAGGCCAACCAAAAACCGACAGCGTAGTGTTCACTGTAGGGTGGGTGGTACCCCCAAATGAGTAGGTACTCAAGTTTGGTTCCTGGATCCCGTACGTACGTTTTAACCCTAGCCACCGGGCATCATACCCGCAAGGCCTAACTTATATAGGTATATCTTAGAGTTCTTCTAGATACCTTTCAAATCAACATTAATATGGGTATATCTTAGAGGTCTTCTAGATACCCTTAACAATGCATACATTTTTCACAATCATCAATATATTCATTATGATTTAATCATTCATAATTTCCATTTTAATTAGAACATCTATCAAGATTTAATAATCATAATCATCAATCAATAATTATTACCATAATCATTAATCAACATAGTATTCAATAACAATTAGCGGCCTAGCTTCGGGTGTTAACACCCTAGCTTACCGTCATGCATCACACCTAACATTTTTATTTGTTAAAAACATCATTTTTATTGTGGTAAATCATTTTTATAATCATCATAATCAATTGGTATCAAAACTAGGATTTTAGAACTCAAAAATAGCATTTTCGTAGTTCACTGTGTTCGGAACGGTCCACCGTTTTCAGCCGACGGTCGACCGTTATTATAACAGTGGTATGGGAGTTTCTGGTCTCAGAACGGTCGACCTTCGTGGAGGGACGGTCGACCGTTTGGTAGAACGGTCGACCTTTTGTCAAAACGGTCGACCTTTCCTGCCAACCAGCAAACAGTGCTTCATCTTCAACCTCGGGTCAGATTTTCGAAAACTCATTTTTAGCCACCAAACTTCAATTAAACTTTATATAAATGTTCTCCAATGTTAATAGATCAATTAAATACCATTAATTTGAAGTTTTAACAACAATTTCCAAATTTATGATTCTTGGTTCTTGAAGCATATCAAACACAAAACTCAACCAAATGGTCGTTTATGAACGTAGAAACGATCTATATGAACATTCTAGTCACTAGATATATCTACGGGCTTACCTCAAAGTGAAATGGAGGTTTTGAAGGTTTTCCGGCGAAACTTCCGGCGAACAAAGCTCTCAACTCCGGCGATCTCTCTCTGGAATGGAAGCACCAGCAAACCCTCCTCACTCAGGGCAACAGATTAGGAAGAAATTTGGGATGATTTGGTGGAGAATTGAGGGAATTTGAGATTGCTTAAATAGAGGAAGGAAGAAGAAGAAGACATTGAAGGAATAGTGGTGAATCTTTGAGCGGCTAGTGCGCCGTTTGAGTACAGCAGCGCCGATTGGAGTGTAGTCCCTGATTGGGACTAATTTTGGTTCCAGTTGGGGTACACTTTTTGGTCCAACTTTCTCCAAATTGAAATCCGATTGCATCGTTGCGATCGTGAAATTAAACTCTATCCAACGATATAATTTTTACATTTATTCGTTATACTTTTTCCAACATCATATTTTTGGGTGTTTGACTTTGACAGAGTCAAAATTGATTTAATTGACCTTTATTTAAAAGGGTTCTCATAATTAATTCATATCATTTATTCCCATGATTTATTTTAGTAAATCTTTTCAATATTTACATCACAAGTCAATTTCTTAATTTATTCTTGATTTGGGTCTGTACTCAGGTTCCCAATCAAGACCATACAAATAGTCAACATATTGGATTTATCTCTATAAGATTTATCCAGATTGTGATATTGGATATCAAAACACATTTTATTTCGGCCCAAAGCCCAACAATAATTTATTTTAATCAAAACAAATTTTGTTTAATTGAATATTTAATTCAATAAATTTTAGGGTATATTTTCGGGCGTTACATTTTAACTTATAATCTGGGGGCAATAATGTGTTGCTAGATACCGCTTATTGCTTATAGTATTGGTGCAGAGCCAATACTGTGGCCAGTTTTATAAGTGCCTATACGGGTCACACACTTTGGACAATTTAAGAAGTAGGATTAAACAATGGGATAATAAGTAATTTGTATATTTGTAAAAAAATAGTAAACTAAAATATTTTGGAATATAATATTATATATATAAATATTCGGTTATATATATTATATATATGTACCGATTAATGTATATATATTATATGTTGAATATTTTATTTTGGTTTGTCATTTTAATTATGAAAATAACTATTTTGACATAAACTATTTGAAGTATATTTTATACTTGTTTAAAAATGATATTGGTATTTTATTTGATTTAAAATTAATTTTATATTAATTTTTGGTGTCAAATAAAAATACACTTTGAACATTTTAGTGAAGAAGAATTTTGAAAATCCTTCTCACAATCACAAAGAAAATTTTCGGCCATCATAAGGATTTTGAAAATCAAACTTTCCTTGATTGATAATTAAGTGGCTAGTTAATTTTGTCATTTAGCTAATGACAAAATAGTTTGATTAATCACATTGAATCTTTTGTTTTCTTTTTAAAAGGTTACACGGCACTTTGAAATAAAAAGAGGGTGAAGATTATCATTTTGATATGTGTGTCATTCGGGCATATTTTTCTAGAGAGAAGAAATGTTATTTTAAGTGTTCCATTAATATCATTTTGTGTAAAGAAAATATCTATAATATTTTCTAAATATTATTAGAAATATTTTCTATAGAAATATACAAGATTATTGTTATCCCAATTTTAATCTTTATAATTTATACTACTATAATCTTTACTAGCATAAAGATTGTGGTAGACTCCGGCGTTGTTCGTGTGTCAAAGTTGGAGACCGGACGCTTGAACGGTTACGTTTGCACTTTCAACGCTCTTCCTACGACTTCTTCGTTTTTACCGCTTACGGAGAAAGGTATAAATTTCTTACTCACTATAAGTTTTAGTACGTGATTCTGGGCAAGATAATAATGTTAGGATGTTAAACTTTTTTATATTCCGATGCCTATCCTTGCATGGTTACCTTTCAGTGGTATCAGAGCCAACGTACAAAACTATAGTTTTACGTTTGACTTTTAAAATTTTAAAAGTCAAAGTTTTAACTTGGTAATTATTAAAATTCAAAAATTGGTAAAATGGTTTTATTTAGTCTTGGAATAAGTATTGGACTTAAATAAATCATTGAAAATGAATTTTAAATTTATTTATTTTATTTCTACCCGTAATATATATATATATATATATATATATGTATTTTGATTTTTCGAAATATATATTTATATATATTGTAGAAAAAGTAAATATAATTTTATTTGGACATAAAACATCATTTTATGATTGATAAAATTATATTGTAATTTTTGAATGTATTATTTCCTATTTTGAATGTATTGTATTTATTTAGGTAAAAACCGAAAATAAATATGGGAAAATTCAAAATGAACTTTATTAAACTTGGAAATATTATTTATAAGTTGAATAAGGTTTTTTGATAAATATATTGTACAAAATAATATTAGTTAGTAATTAAATAAATATATATTTATATATGTACTCGGTATTATTACCGAAATATTATATATATTTATATATTTGTATTTTAATTACATAAATGACTAATATATATTTTGGAAAGTTATATCTCAGTAAGAAAAAGAATTTTTTTTCAAAATATTAAATTTTTGTAATTTAATTTTTTCGAAAATAATTTAAATGGCTTTTTATAACTTATTGAGATTTAACTAATATATTTTGGAAATAATGATTTATAAATTTTGGAAATTTTATTTCCAGGTTTATGAATGTTGAAAATAATTACTGGAAGTTGAAATTTAGTTTTCATGATTTTTGCGAAATTTTTCGGAATTAAATTGCCTTTTCGAAAATAATTTTGCAAAAGGGCATTTTGGTCATTTGGAATATTCTGGATTTTTTTTATGCTGGCAGAATATCCAGAGTATATAAAATGATTTTATAAAATTTTATTAGATTTATTTGGACATCTAATTTAATTTTATGAGTTTCAGAAAATATTTACTGCCGTAGTATTTTTTTAGAACTGTCTAGGGTGAGCGCGGTTCACCCGGTGTATGTATATCTCTATTTCTTGTGTGGATGTATGATATGCATGGTGGATGATTGTGGCTATAGTTTATTTGATTATAATACGGCCTGCGTGTCGTGCCTTATCTCTTGAACTCTTGTTGTAAATCTATTTCTCTCTCTTACCTCAACCGAGGATTCTTTTCTCACGTGGTGGTTAGAAGATGAAAAGAATTGATGACCGTTTGGAGAAATCTAAAAGAATGGAGATAGCCCGAAGTTCAAGTGCCCGAAAGCCAGTGGGAGCTATCGTTTTATTTTTCTTTTAGGGGCCACAATCATTACACGTTTATTTACTGCGTTTTGTGAATGCATGTTGAATGTATGTTGAACGCTAGTAATGGACATGTGTGCGGCCATGTCGATAGGTGAGATCGAAATTATAAATCCCTCACGAATATTAAGTCTGTTGCCTTCTGACGCCCGGCACCTATCCGGCTAATGTGCACTGTCATGTACTCAGCCTCAGCAGAGCATATTACGGTGTATGTTAAGCTGGTAACGGGAACCGCCATAGCGTGGTCGCTGTCGCACGTTGGGTTAGACTAACTGAGTCTCGGTCAAATGGATGGACGACTCAGAGGCAGTAAGTTGGGGTCATCAATGACAAGTCGGATGATTTTACTCACTCATCCAGCCAGAAGTTGGATCTTTATGATTTAATTGGAACACTGTTCCTAACCAAAGTAGTCTGCTTGTAAGACGTGCCTCAGCCAATTACAAGTATGGTGAAAAGGTGTCTTGGTCCGGTTGTAGTAATATTGTTCGCCCAACACCAGACCAAGAGCTGAGAGCCCGGCTCATCAGTTGGAACTATGTTCCTACCTAAATAGTTGTCTTGTGGAGTAACGCCCAAGCGGAACGCAAGATAATGAAATATGGATCTTGGCCCACTAGAGGTTTCACCGGAAATCTCCGAATCAATATCGAGGGTTATTGATTTGTTAAAAATA